ACGGTAAACAGACCAGCTTGCAGAAAATAATAAGGCAGTTGACGACGTGCGTGCGTGACTCTGACGACGTGCCGACTTCTGCGGCAAGGAACCTAAATGAACTTCCTCCCGTCATATATCGAAAATGTCGAATATGACAGGAAAGAATGGCCGACGTGACGTTTCAATGCGTCCAAAGAAATTATTCGTGAGTTGCGCAAGGAGACACTGACGTCAACCGATTTCGTGTCACAGCGGGTCACTCGCAGCCCGCGAACTCTTGCATCGTTTCGCTTAAATGAACCAAAAACGGCATTGAATATTGATTTTATGCGTGCTGCCACTAGTATTCGCGAAGATGATGGCTTCATCGTGGTGCAAAAGAAGAGGGGCACAAAAAAGCCAATCGGAACCACTAGGGCACTGCACCCATTGGGCCCAACCTCTTGTTGCTTGATGCAACACCGACCACGGCAATGTACCTGTTCCGCCTATAGGCGGACGGCGTACATTATAGGAGGTGGATGGGACACCAGGATATTGTCGACTATATATGAGTAACCTGACATTGAGAGTGATGCAGCTGGAGTCGAATCACAACGAGAGTTTCGAGGCATGTATGGACCGGGTGTCCATCAACATATCTTCATGAAGGAGAACTACTGGCTAAAGGGGGTGGTATATAGGCGGTGTATTGAATTACAGATTATATTAAGCGTTTATTTTATTAGATAATAAAAATTATAAGAAACCAACTAATAAATAACGATCATATTGTATTTGCAGAATAAAAGATATTTATTAACCTCGTTACGATAGCTTGTTCCATTAGCGATGAAATTTATTAATATCCTTTACCCACATATACTTTACAATTTTTTTTGTTGTTTTTCTTTGTAATATTACTGATATTATTGGAAATACAATTATTAATTTCTTTAAAGAACACTATTTTTTATGGTCCTTTTTTATTTATTATGTTTTACGTCTCTGGACACAAGGCCTTTTGAAAACCTTATGAGTAAGTGGGTAATAAGTATGTCAATATAAACAACGTCTTTCTATTTATTGACGTGTATTCCATAAATAAATCCGTGCACATAATATTAATAATATTGAATAGCTATAAATATAATTAGTAATGAGACTAATGAGCTATTTAAACTAAATAATTTTCCATCTAAATTGTGTGAAGTACCTATGCTTATCTCTTAGAAATATGATTGACATATATTTAAGGTGTAAGATTTCAGGCCAATAAAATTAGGTACATGAAGTCTTTAAGTAATCTATCTTACAGTCAAAATTAATATACTTTTCCCCGTTTAAGTATGAAGAACTAACAAACAAAAAGACTTTCGAATTTGAATTCATCGTTATACCATATTAGGTGAGATCGTCAATAATACCATAACATAATACTGCCATCTGTAGAAATTAACGTCAGTTAGACGAGTCATCATCGTTGTCTTGCCTATTGTTTATTTAATTATACTTGTCTTCGAGCATTTGTAAAAATTAAATGGACTATAGGAAACTAAGGGTTTAATACGCAGCGGTAATAAATATAGCGAAATACAAAAGTAAAATACGTATATAATTGGAAAATTGAAAATTTACAAACTATAGAAGACACCGAATACATTTTCTAAATATAAAATTCTAATCACAATGTCTTCTATGTGACCAGTTATAAATTTATCAATAAAAGTTCTAGTAGAAACAGAGATATGAAGCAAATTAATTCATTACTAGTATAGTTTTTTTTATATTACAATCATCTCTCAGTACCACAAGTGTGTTTTTGCCGTACAAAATTGTGGAGCCAACCCCCTCTCATCCCCCAATCACCCCGTCGTTACTGTATGAAATAATTTTCATTGCCCAATTGTATATATTGTAAAAGTGTGGTTCTAAGTAGAGCTTTCTCAAGTAGCAGGAGATTTGAGTGGAGGCATGAGTGTTCATTAGCTTTTGTACTGATTTCGTTTCTGAAGATATAAGCAAGTACGTACTTGACCAGGTTAAAGAGCGGTTTGGATATGAAATGGACAATTCTGTGACAACAATCACTCGAAATTGGAAAATACTACTATGTAATAATAATACTAAGCTTATATAAATAGTTTGTATACCTTAACTTACACACATATTTACAAAAAAATGTACCTATGTTGTGATATAAACATAATTATTTTTATATAGGGTTCTGACTTTAAATTTCTTTAAAATAACAAACAATCCATAAACCGTTTATGCATAATCATATTTTAACAACATAATTTTGTTTAATAATTTTATATATAGTTAATACGATCACCTACTTTATATCCTTGCCTATGTTGAATTCTTGCGAAACATACTATAAATACAATATGTGTGTGCAGTAAATGTACCTTCATATAAGTCTAAATCTACAAAATGATTATGTCCTCGTACTTCGGACCGAAAGCTATGACATGACAAGAAATCTCGAAATATTATAACATCCCTACACTTAGCAGTTATGATACACCAATTATACTAGATGTAAATCATAATAGCAACTCGTCCATGACACTAGAAATAATATTCAGTAATATATTATAATCTGTTATAAATATGTCGGTCCCATTGTTCATTAACATATCATAATTTATATTGTACAAACACCTTATCAGTTATCATTAAAATTATACTCAACTAACACACCACTGGCCTTGCAGTATTACTAACCGATATGCTATGCTTAGCTAGAATGCTGTAAATAATAATCCCCAAGACAAATTCACATAAGGCTATATAATCTGTTTTGAGAGTCGATAGTCTAGAATAAGTTGTAAAAGGAGTTGGTACAACACTAGTCATGTCACAGACACTAGATTCACATTTCTAATCACGTCACAAGAACATAATAAATATAGAGTATCAATCATTAAGTATATAATTTATATTGGTCAAACCAATACATGATATCAGGTTTGGAGTCAAAATTAAACAGAGCTGCAAAAAAAAAATCAGAAAACACCCACTCCACAAAGAATCATAGTCATGATTGTATGGTGCGAGAATCGAACCCACAACCACTTTCAATATTATAGACATTCGTATTTCTATCATTTGTCACCACATCATTGTATATCACATCAAATACTCCAACCTACAATGGCCACACCAACCATGTAGATATTGGTCTATTAAAGACAGCACAAAATTATGAAAACAAAAATGTAAAACTTTCCTTATTTTGAACCAGATGGTGCTGTGTGAATTCTCATACAAGAAACAAAAAATATTAATGTAAAGAAGGAAAACTTGAAATAAAACCCAATATCTACATGGTTGGTGTGGCCATTGTAGGTTGGAGTATTTGAGGTGAGACCTGTATGAAAATGGGTCATCAAAAATTCCGAATGAACGATGTAGTGTTTACCATGACTGTAGTGTTAGGTTATGAATATACCTCTACAAGGTTTAGGTATCGACCAATATGTGACGAACTTATGACGAACACTGAATTTGTATAAATATGACAGTCGGCAGTACAATATTTACATATATTGTCACTGTAACAGTTGTAAAAATATAATTAGCTGTATATTTTTTGTATTAAACAAAACTAAATATTGTAATTGACGATTTTTTTAATCAACTATTCTTATGTTGTTGAGTATAGCTGGCCTTTGACCTACCTTGAACGAAAATGCAGATTGATATCCAAAGCCGCGGTTGATTACAAGGAGTGCCTAAAGACCAACTTATTCAGACGTAAGATACAACTTTGATCATAGAGCACCCGCTAGGAATTCGAATATCCCCTTAGGCTGCCGTAATTTTGATAGCAGTTAGTAAGGACACAGATAAGATAATATTACATATGATGGATTAGGGCATAAAAGTTCTACGCTTTTGAGACTTGGGTTAAGTTTACGTATTTACGTTTGAAACTGTATTATTACATACCTACTGTTAGTATTTGCTAACAATTTACAATTGTAACAGGTTTCAATTGAAAGATTTTTCGATTCTGTATGAATTTGAGAATCGCAGTCATAAGCCATTTTGAGCTGTTAAGTCTAAAATTAATTACAGGTATATAGTTTTTAATAGTAACTATTTTAATCAGCGACTAAAAAGTCGTACACGAATAAATGATTATTGATTTTTTTATGTTTCGAATGTTATTTATGTTAGGCATTAAGTTTTGGTTACCTACTTGATAGTTGGAACGTGTAAGAAGACACGCAGACAATAGCAGGACATAGGCTCTGTAGGATATAGGACAAATAAGGACGTTATTTGTCCGTTATTATCAAATTCTGTGTACTTACACTTAATACTAATGTAACTTAAACAATTCTCTATAAATATTTGTTATTATTTTCTGATAACATGAGAGCAATTCGATATCGATACCATGTCATTTATATCTATCTACTAATTTATATTATAGAATGTGCATGGCAATAGTATTTCATGCATGGGATTATGGATAGACACTTACATAAGTGCTAAATGTAAATAAAATGTCTTTAAAAATAATCTGTTGATTTTATCTGAACTAGACGGCAGGGAAAAAATAATAATACAAAAATTTGACGTTCATACACGGTTATAATGTCATACATGAATAAATTATTTTTGATTTGATTTGATTTGATTTGAGGAGTTTGTTTGGTTAACGCGCTAATTCTTACTAGACATTTTTTTACAGTTTACAACCCAACTCTTTAGCTTCCTCAAAAATTGAGCTTGTTGGGCTTAGAAACTATTAAACAGGCTAACCTAACCCTTAGTAACTGAAAGAAAATATCAAAAGAAATATTATGTAAAAACGAAATATGATGCTGAGAAGCGACGCATAGGACAATAGTAGTCACCATATCAATTTAATTAAACTGTAGGTAAAACCGCTACATTTGAATAGATATATCAATAATACTAAACTGACTTAAATGTGTAAACATTTGTTATTACTTGATAATATAAAAGCCATCAGTTATCCAATACCAGTTCATATTTTATATAGACTAGAACGGTCAAAGAGAACGGTCGCGCAGGCGTGATACCGTGATAGCTATAGCGCGCATTCCATTTACGAAGCACGTTACGTGCGCGCGCACGAATACGGCGCAATACTTTGTTTACAAACAAACATCTACTATTTAGTTCCATGATTGTTGTGATCATATAAAAGGTAAGTTAGACAATTTATGTGAAATCATATTTGCACTTTATAAATAATGTATGTGAATTGTTACACTATAAATTATATTACTGCATGCACTAAATACTGCATGAATTTGTCAATTCATTAAGTTACTGATGCATTGTTTACAATAACATTATTAAGAATTTTCTATTAGTTGCGTAGATTTATTGTACTTCATATTTTGTATTTTAGGAAATACGTATAACGTTATGAATTTGTTTTTATCGTCTAAATTGTTCTTCTATTTTTATCTTCTTATATAGTGTCCAGAATTAATATTTGATAGTGTAGTCTCTTTAACATTATTCAGTAATAGTTACAAAATAATTTATAAATTGTGAATAGTAAGAACTTTAATATAGTGATCGATTTAGAGTAAAAGTTTTGTTAGTCATATTTTCAAGCATAGCCAAGTTTTTGAATATAGCCCAGAACATAGAACCAGCCCACAAATTACAAGCTACCTAGACCTGCAATAGTTGAGAAGTTTGCAAGACAGCCAATCATAACAAAATTTCTTGCTAAATTAGTCCAACCAAGAATCAAACCTATCCTAGGTTTGATTCTTGGTTGGACTAATTTATCTCCGCCTCCATTCCACCGACAGCAGCAGTGGTTTTCATTGAAATTCGATATGTTAGACCGACGTAGTACCTACTTTAATTTTATTCATTTTAAGCATATTGTTACCTTATACCAGATAATTATTGTCTTTCTATTTATCATTTTGACCTTGAGATAACAATTAAGTTATTGACTCTATAATGTCGTGTTTAATTAAGTAGGTTCATTGCTATTAAAAACAAGTGCTGTTATAAATCAGCTGACGTCATTTTTATAGTTCCATGCAAGGAAATCGACTTTTCTGATAAATATAACGAAATGCAACAGAAACGCAACAGCCTTATAATAGGATTGCATACAAATAAGAATTTGTATGCAATCCTATTATTTATATTGTAAGCAAAATACAAAAATAAAGTAACAAAATATAAATATATAAATTATAAATAATTTCTCAATAAGTCTAATTCCAATTACTACAAAAGTAGTAGTACAAAATAATAATGGTTCATTAAAACCACGTTGTTTCAATCAGTCAGTTTTTATAACTACAGCTGTTAACACCATAGTATTTTATTTCAAATAACTTTATCAGAAAACAATAGAATGGAGTAGAAAAATTATTATTCAAATAAACTCAATGTAAACAGTTTTGAATAATTCTTTTTTTATATTATACCACTTACATAGGTAAGTGGTATCAATAGTGATACCATGACTATACTCCAGCTGACAAAAACTACACTAAATAAATTTTTGAAACATATTAGCTGAATTATGTAACTCTGTTATGGATGGGCTAGGGATAGGATTTGAGATTTACTAATGCAAGGTTGTACTATTCACAAATGCAACTATGAAAATGTTCATACACACCTATACAATTATAGGATTTTAAATCCCAAATGCTAAATTGTAAATATGTTTCAAATAAAATTGTTGTACTAGTATAATTAAACCTAATTAAAGTCAAAAGATTATTAAGCAGCTTCTATCACCTAGGGTACTGGCACCAGTAGTCACCTTTTAGTGGTAAGTCTCAAACCATATAAAAACAATTAAAAAAAAGAAAGTCTTTTGTATAATTTATTTGTTTATTAAAACAAAAATAACAAAAATTACAAATTTATCCTTTAATAACAGGTTTGAGATTTTCATCGGTAAAAACTTCTAACCATATATGCCACCAGTGATTATCTCTTCAATAGTTTCAAGCTAAAGATTAAGAACATTAATAAACAATTATTCCGGTCAAGGAACCTAAAAACTGTGCCCTAACAATCACATCAAATATCTATCTAACTTATATTTAAATCAGTCGAAAACTAGTAACATCAGTATTTAAAAAGATTTCAAGTTTTCTTCTTGTGTAACCGATTAACAATTTTTTTAGTTATCTTCCTTACAGGTTTCTGTGTCATTCAGTGAGATATTACTGAGATTTTTTTTATTTTGTTTTGATTTCCACCACATCTGTCTCAAATCATTCATAATTTTTCTTCTTTTAGTATCTCCTGTTTACTTTTGTAAATCTAGTCTTTTTTTTTTTTTTTGTATAAAAAACAAAAATATGGAAAATACTGGGTCTACTTTCCCAGTACTCAGCCATGTAACAAAACTGTAACTATTTAAAAATGTATTGGGTTTTTGACAAACAGCGTTAAAACCAGTAGTCAACCAGGGGTTTGATAAATAGATAATGTATATAAAAATGGAACTAATGATATTATTTAATAATGAAGAAAAAATGATACTTTTCATTGATTACAATGCCAAAACTCTTAATTAATGTAAATTTTAATACAATGTCCAAAAGGAACAAAAAAGCGAAATAAATTACCATTTCTGTGAACACTTCTCACTAATAAAAAAATGGCACGCAAGCCGCATGTCGCCTCGTCAGCCTATGACGTCGAAATAGATTTATATTTAATGTACTTCGCATCCACGTAGCTATTATGTTTGGATTTAATTCTAGCAATGAGAAGTCATAGAAGCAATTTAAAATAATTTTTTTTTTCTGTTATAGCGCTATTCCTATTGGTTTTAAACCGAAAAAGTGAGTCTGGTGCCCGACTACTGGATATCGTTATATTATAAACAACAACAAAAAAGATACTGTACGGCGCCATTTGTTATTAAAAAGGTCTCGGCATACCTTCGTAACAGGTTTGAGATATCGGTATTATGCTATTTTCTGATTATACTTATTATAAAACCAATGTAATACATTATTTTAAAAAATAATATTCTATGCTTAAACAGTCTACATAGTTCATGTTTTCGGGGTTTCCTCGTGTGTAACCGAACAGTGCTGATTTCTTGTATTGTGAGAACCGGATTGTTTTTACCACCACATCTGCTCAAATATTGGTCCTGATTTTAGTATCCTGTGTAAGCCGTCTTACCAGTTTCATGACAAAAATAGGAAAGATAGGCTGGGTATAGCAAAACTATAATATTATAAAAATATATAGGTATGTCATCTTTAATTTATGCATTCGTGATAAATATATTAAGGAGACTAATGATAGACAAATGAGAATAAAATCTGATCAGCCTAGAATCGATTACGCTAATCCAATATCCAAGAGGAATCCAAGAGGCACGCCATAAAGTCGACCTGATAGTGAACCTTCCTCCTTCTTTGGTAGGTATTCAGGAACTCGGTACCTAAGAACTGAGTTCGTGAATACTTTGCATAAAATTTTACAGCTTGTAGCAAACCAGTTTAAACAAGTTTTTTTTTACCTTGCAATAGCTCCTGCATACCGGAAGTGTCGAAACCTTGGATATCGTTATATGTAAAAAATATAATGGCTTATTATTAAATGTAAGAGGTAGACCTATTATGTATTTTCCGAAGTAATTATTATCTAATAATGAAAGATTTAGTTTTACAAAAAAAGTTCAGTTCAAACTGTAATGAATTTATATTAATATATAACAAGAGACCAAACACTAACGATTACTATGAAAAATGGTCAGCATAGTCTATATACACACGAACAGCGCCATAAGTATCGCTCCCTGAATCTTAGTAGGTATCAAGCAAAATATATTGTGACATCCGGTCTTTACTTCAAATCATATTAAAATCAGACATATCAAAACTAAATAATATTCAGATAAACGGCCATTACATTAATAAGAATAGGTAAATACAACAGGAACTTAATACGTAACTTAATACTAATCGTATAACGTATATAAACCTGAAACTTATATAAGATTCCGGTTTCATTAGGTACAGTGATAAACATTAAATTACCTACGGCTTGTTACAATTTCACGATTAAAGAGAACACGAAAACTTAAAGGATGGATTGTATATAATATTATTTTTACTAGATGTGCCCGCGGTTTCACCCGTATTACACTTCAATAAAAATATAACCTATATGTAATTCTGCATAAGGTATAAGTATTACTCTAAAGTTTCATCCGTCAAAATCAATAAAAATCCGTCCTACTGGACGTGAAATAGTAACAAACATCAAATTATTGAATTTGAAGTTGTCATCGTCGCCGTTATCGTCTACCTGTATTTTGAATTTGAAATTGATTAAGAATCATCACCTCGCATTGTTACCTTATGATATTATTAATATTATAAAAATGTGAGGTGATGATTGTGAAGTTTTAAATTAAGTCAATTGATAAAATCCAATCCATTAAATTAAATTAGTAATGTATACAATTATTATAATAATAGGTAACTCGATTAATTGATATTTATATATTACCTACTAATTAAATTCCATTAATTTGTAATTTTAAATTAATCACTATCATTCATTAATAAATTAATTCCTTTGTTATAATAAAGGTTATAGAGTGATATTTTAGCCTTATTTTCATTATTTGTCCAATTTGAATGATTTAAATTATTAGAGATGCAAAATTATCGTATACTTCGTTATTAAAATTCGTTTCTTTTTACGATATATGAATTTGTATAATTAAAAAATGTAGTATATATAGTTAATGTATAAAGATCTAACTTATATCAGCAGACATTTTCTGGAAAACGAGATGACCTTCTTATATACCTAAAGACCTTCGTATGACCTTTATGTGTGAACACAATTGTTCAATATTTTTACCCTGAAACGATTTGTACAATTCAGAAAAATAAGAACAAAAAAACTTAAATTATTCTTGACTATTGTCATTTTCTGAATTAAAGATGTAAATGGCTGTACTTAACCGCATCATTGGAATCAAGTAACCTAGTGGTTAGATATAGGGTGCGTAAAATATGAGCTGAGTTAGGTAGTATGTGGTCGTGCGTATTGCTTGATTGCTTGTACTAATAATGTATTTAGTAATACCACAGATAACATAATATTACATAGTAACTTTAATTTTTGTACAAATACATAATACAAATAGTTATACAAATTATCAACGTTATAATA